GGGGCCCGCGGCCGCCAGGCGGCAAACCCAAGGCGAGGGGCCTCGGCGGAGGCGGCTGAAGTGGCTTCGGCCTAAATTACCGTTCTGTTCTGCCCCAACCATAAACGCTTCCACCCCATAATTTCGTTCTGCTCTTACATCTTGTACTGCTTCCCCTGTAGCAGTTTTAAAAATAAATAGCTGCTGCTGTCAGAAACTACAGGGTTCTGCACTTTGAAAGCAGTTATCTTGAACAATTACATAAATCCATAGGGCATACATACCATTTCTTGCACTTCAGGCTGTTGGCCTCTTAAAACACAGGCTGAAAAATGCAAATGCTCCACAGTTTGACAACAGGTTTCCAAGAAAAGTCCCCTAATGGGACGTCAGAGCCCCAGAACTGCCCAACCCCTGAACCACTTCGTCTCCATCATGCACTTCCACTCTGGTCAAGCCCTCACACCTACAGCACTCTCTGTTTTAGCCCATGATTCTGCCAGATTTTTACAAACTCATAAATAATTGTGCAAGCCGTCAAACTACTGCAGCCCAGCTAGCTAAGGAGACGTCTCTCGGTGGGGTTTGCCCAACTTAAGGACACTCTGAGGTGTCTGTCCAAGGGGCGTTCACAGAGCCTCTTGCTCTGTCCTGCTGTTGCATTTCTCGAACCTTTCTGTATCCTAACGTTTCTGAGACCCACAGCTTTCTGCCAGACTTCACTGAAACAAGCTGACTTGTGCAGACATAGTGGCACAGACAGAATAAACACCACTTCTTTAGGAAATAAAAGGGCACAAGTGAAGAGACCTGCTCAGAGGTTGCCAGGCTGGCAAACCCTGGGTGAATCCCTGTGGTGCAGGAGGTAATGGGGATGCGCTGCACCTTTCCCTTGGAGGGGGAATGCTAACCACTCACGTCCCTCATGCGAGAGCTGCCGATGAGTTCTGAGTCCTTCATTCAAATGCTATATTCAAAGGGATGCTTACTTCTTTTCCTACAAGTTGGTAATGCTGGTGCCCTATGTCCAGCATGGTGCAGCTCAGGAGAGGTCCGGACGGTCACATTTCGCAAGACAGAAACTGGCTGCAACCACAGTTGTTAACCCACGTTCTTGCTTCACACTGTGTTCACTATGAAGGACGTCGATAATCCTGTTTTCTACTAGCTTGTCCTGAAAAGAGAAGAATTGTGTGAGTTTTCATTTGTATGAGTCTATTCATTTGATAAAAATCTCTCTGCTTTGTTTTTCAGCAGTGATAATTTGGCTCTGCTGGAGTTAAACCATGTTGATATGTACTTCTGTGCTGGAGTAAAGTTAGAGGCAGTTTTTGACAAAAGGGCCCCTTTGTGGCTGCCTTTGAGATTAACATTCAGGAATGGGCAATTGTTTCTTTTAAAAAACAATTATTTATCTTAGGCACCTGAAACCATCGCTTGCTATGCAAGATGTAAGGTCCTGCGTTTTATTTTCACAAATTTAAAATATCCAGTGTAACTCTGAAGCCTGAAGTGGAAAAATGGTCTTCTCTTTTCTCTCCCTCAGGGACAGAGTTATGCTGAGAATGTGAGAGCAGATAATAGCCATATTCATAACTTCAGGCCAGATGTCTTCAAAATCATACTATCACTCAAATTAAAGCATAGACAAACATTTGTGACTGACGTAGCTACTTCAAATAGGCTAATGCCTCAGTCAGCATTGCTCATTTTGGAACAGACTGAGAGAAAGCAGAATCAAAATGAAGAGGTTACTTGTGGTTGTTTTCTTGTTGGTCCTCATGACCACTTTTACAGGTAGGAGTTTATCTAAAACAAACCTGCATGTGCATGTAGAGCTGCAGAGATACTATAATAGTATTACTTTATCACCCTTGTATTTTAGTATCTTCATATTTCATTTTTAATACTTAACTATTTTTAAATTGCAGGCTTTCCATAATTTGATTTTTAACAATCATGCTATTGTATTAGATATTTTACTCTCTGCGTTACCACACTGTAATAACTTATTCTAACCCCAAAAAGTTTTATTTTATGAGCTTACTGTTTTAGTATTATTTTACTGAGGTCCTGCAAGCTGCATGTTCAATGCAATCTCTCCTTTGCAACAGAAGTCTAACTCATTACTTTGAAAAATAATCCTAAAAAGTAAAGCAACAGAGAAAAGAACAAAGACTTGGAAGAGCTACTAATGTCAGTGGTTAGATGGTGGTGTTATATTTTCTCATTTTAAAGAGTAACATGAATACGTAGGGTTTGCTTCATACTGGTAGAACGATAGAAAGCACAAGTATAAAAATGGTTTAAAATTCCACTCATATCTCCTGGAATGCAATATCCCCTGGGAAGGGGCTGTAATGAAAGAACACTTTGTATATAGACAAAAATCAGGTTTGGAGACATTTCATTTTACAACTGACAGATAAAATATTAACTTTTTGGTAATTTCAGAACTAATGTCTGCTTTCCTGTCTGTAGACACTTCACCAGTTTTGACTGAAAAAGACGCTAAGCAGATTCTGAGAACTCGTCGTGAAGACAGACCGAGAAAAGCTGGTTTCCCTGATGAGCCAATGAGGGTGATTTATGACATTTATTTTTAAATTACATTAAATAAAACACCCCCACCAATCCCCCCAAAACATTTGTGCTTAATATTAAATTTCTATAGATTTCATTCCAAGCAATACATTATGAATGTCACCCTTTTAAGCAGCTGAGTTCTTCCTTAAAATATTAAAAAAAAACCCTCTTTACATTCTTTCAGTTACTGTTAAGTAGCATTCTGTAAGTGCTGAATATTGCTCAGGAAATGTATGCTTGCAGAATGTGGAAATTATTTATCACAGTTCAAAAACGCCAATTAAATTATTGAGAAGAAAGTGGCTTTTCATTTATAGAAACGTGGATTTCATCAGGTTGTTCCTGAAAAACTAAATAACAGGAAATGTCTTCTGCTCACAGTACATTCTGCACTCGAGGCAGAAAGGAGATGTAGGTGTCAGTGGTCAGTGTGGAGATTGAGGTAGTTCTGAACTAGCTTTCAAAATCACTTTCTTTCATTCCCTTATTTATGAATGCTACAGATAGGATGGTTTGTTATGACACTGTAGAAGTTTTAGTTGCTCGCTTAATGCAACAGCATTGTTTTTGCATGCAGTATTTACATTTATTTATTTTTAAACCATATTACAACAAAAGAAAAAGTAAAAGAATTAAGGAGCCTTCTGTTTTACTTGCTTTGACAAGATGTTAACATATAATTCTGCACTTCTCAAGGCGTACTTAAGGTATTTTGAAATTACTGCCTATTTCTTTCCAAAGTAAATAAACTGTGCTAAAATTACATGGTTTGGAAGAGGCAAAACCCACAGAAGCTAGAAAGCACACAATGGATTGTGCATGTATGACAAATACAAGGGGCTGAGTTGAGCAAGGTGCTGAACACTTCTGAACTCCATAGGACATGTACCCTGCAGGACCGTGGAGACAGCTGGTGGTTCTCCATTTCTAATGGTTATTGTACACCAGCCAAAAAGAACCCACCTGGCTGTCCTGGGTGGCTAGCCTTACACCTCTCCCGATGCACACACTTCTTTGTCAAGCGTGATGGCCAGAGCAAGGGAAAGCTGTCACAAAAATATTGCACCATGCTTGTTAACAATCTTGTACAATGAAGACTGTACAACAGAGGCAAAACCCAGAAGGCATGGGCTTCACTGCTTCCCACAACATTCAGGATTGGGCTGATTTCTCAGCTGTTATTAAATGAGCCTTGTAGTTTTTGAAAATTAGGGGGCATACAGCTCCCATCTATGCTTATGCTGAATACACCACCATGATTATATAATGTTATGTATAAAGATAACATCTATTAAATACAAAATAAATAAAACAGTAGAGAAGCTGGATTGAGTTAAATCCTGTATTACAGGAAGTTACATGCATACATATGATGCTCTTAGTCATATGGTTTCATTTTAGGTAGTCCTGCAAGAGGCAGGGAGTTGGACTCAATGATCCATACGGGTCCCTTCCAGCTCGAGCTATTCTATGATTCTATGACTCTAGGTGGGGAATAGTGGGAGCTAGCGCTAGAGAAGTGTTTGATTACTGACCTCTGCTGCTCTGTCCTCACCATTTTCCATCCTACCATGATTAGTAGCAAACACTGTTGAAAAATTCCGACCTCCTTTTCATTTTTTTTTCCTATACAGCAATGCTGCCTTTCTGTAAGAAAACCCAAACATAAGAGCTTGTGTTTTTCTCACTATATGTCAAGGTTTTCAGTAGAAAAGGAAATATCTTCTGATGAAAAAACCTATCCATCGATGGCCCCCTGACATGGATGTTTTCCCTTGTGAATGAAGGTGCATGGTTGCCATATCCTTGTGGACAGTTCTACCACTGGCTCAAGGAGAAAAACAGATTTTGTATGGATTCTTTGTAGCAGAATGAAATGAATGCTGGGATGAACCCACCTCTGTTCATCTATTTTAAGCAAAAGCTGTTTGTACTAGGCCAGATCATGCTGAGCTGGGGAATTTAATTTGCAATTCGTTGTGACGCTCTTTGACTTCCACAGTGCTGTTTCAGTCAAAAAGCCTGTTCTGTAACAGCCAGCAAGATCTGTCATCTTTGATTACTTTTAAAATGTCATTTATGTTATCAGCATGTTTTAATCTTACTTTGACCGAGACCCTGCTTTTTATCATGTTGCATCTTCCAAGTCATGTAGTTCTGTTCTCCGCATGTTCATAACGCAGTCTCACAGAGGGATTCGAGCCAAGTGTCCCTGTGCTGCAAGGACAGAAAGCACAGCAAGGGCAGGATAGTAACGCTTCCTGCTGGCACCCGGTGTACCAACCCTC